TACCATTCTGTTGATTGTTGATACCATTATTGATACCATTCTGTTGATTGTTGATACCACTCTGTTGATTGTTGATACCATTATTGATACCATTCTGTTGATTATTGATACCATTCTGTTGATTGTTGATACCATTATTGATACCATTCTGTTGATTGTTGATACCATTATTGATACCATTCTGTTGAATATTGACACCACCCTGATCAATAATTATATCATTTTGTTGAGTACTGGCACTTCTCTGTTGAGGTATGAAAGTATTTCCCTGTGTGTTGATACCATTCTGGCCAGTGTTGATACTATTCTGTTGAAAATTGATACCGTTTTGTTGAGTGTTGATACCATTTTGTTGAGTGTTGATACCATTTTGCTGAGTGTTGATACCATTTTGCTGAGTGTTGATACCACTTTGCTGAGTGTTGATACCATTTTGCTGAGTGTTGATACCGTTGTTCTGTGCATCTACTGAAGTTCTCGAGGTATCCGCAGCTGCAGTTGGCGTGACGCTAGGAGGAGGAGAACTTTTGTTCTGCTGTTTTCGAAGACTATCAGCAAGAGAGGAGAGAGAGGAAATGAGGGATGTAAGATCTTTGCGCGGCTGGGGGGTTCCCGCGGGCTGTGGGTGTGTGGCAGGTGTCCCAAAGACTGGGATTACCGGCATGGAGTTTTGTAGGGCGTGAAATAATGTGTTGCCTTGTTGAATTGTTCCCTGTTGAGTAGATGGTGCGGTTGGGTGAACAAAGCCTGTTTGAGCGGTATGGGTTCCACTTTGATTACTGAGTACAGAATTGGTTGAGGGTGAGTTTGTTTGAGTGACTCGCCCGGTCACTGTATGAGGGAGGTTCGGATTCTGATTTGTGGTCCTCGCTGTCGAGGGTGTTGGTGTTCCTGAAGCAGCGTTTGGAAACTGACCGGTCTGTAAGATACCAGTCTGTGCTGAGCTTGAAGTTTGCTGAGGATTCGAACCTCCAACCACCTGGGTAGCAGCTGAAGTTGGAAGCTGTGAGGGGTTGTTAACTTGAGGGGGTTGGGCGGCGGCTGAATTTGTGTTGGGTTGAGGGACACTCATAGCTTGTGGAGCACTCGGGTTTAAACCTTGCTGTGGTCCCGGCGACGGTGGTAGGGCGGTGGGTGTGACCTGCTCCGTGGCGTGTTGGATCATACTGTGGAACAAGGCCACCCAGCTGGGCTCCGGTGTGGCTTCAGGTGGTGACGTCATCGTTGGGGAATTTGTGGGCTGGACGAAAGGCGTGCTGGTCGGGGCCTCAGCTTTCGGGCTCGTCATCTTTGCCTGAAGGGCGTTGGACAACGTGGTGAGTTTCTGCGCCAGGGATCGTGCGGCTGTTGTTGTTGTTGTTGCTGTTGCTGCTGCTGCTGCTGCTCCTGTTGCTGCTGCTGCTGTTGGTGCTGTTGCTGTTGGTGCTGTTGCTGTTGTGGTTTTTATCACTTCTGGAGCCTGAAGCATCAAAAGAACATCTTTGAGTGGAAGTCCATACATCCGAGCGATGGCCGTCGCCATCTGCAAAGTCTCTGCGGTTTGTGGCGCTGGTTGCTTCACAGGGGGGTCCACAGGGTGTGTGTGGCTGTACACCGTTGAATATCCGTAGGCAGGGTGGTATACGTTATGGCTGTGGGCGGGAACCCCCGTCGTGGACGGGGTAGACTGTTTCCCTGGGGTTGATCCTCCCGCGTTCAAAGTACTAAGCGTTTGTTGGTTTGTGGTTGCAGGCTTGGGCAGCTGAGAGTTTGCCACTGACGATTGAATGGATGTCGTAGAAGGCATGCCTGTTTGAGTGGTAGGCAACCTAGTCTGTGAAGTAACCATTCCATTTTGTGTAGGAGGTACGCCATTTTGGGCAACGGGCATTCCATTTTGAGAAATAGGCATTCCATTTTGCATGGTAGGTATTCCAGTCTGTGTAATAGGCACGCCATTATGAGTAAGGTGCATTCTGTTTTGGGTGGTAGGCATTCCCGTTTGAGTGGTCGACATTCCAGTGTGGCCCATTTGCGTTGTGGGAGGGCCAGTTTGGGTTACAGGCATGCCAGTTTGCGTTGTGTGGGAACTACCTTTGGGTAGTCCAGTCTGTGCTGGTGTTTGAACCCCGGCGGTATGCACCAATGGCACAGCTGCTTGCGTGGCCGGCAGGTACGTCTGGGGCACAGGCAGGCCGGTGAGGGGGTTGACCAATCCTGTGTGGATCACCGGAACCCCGGGCTGGACTGATGGCGTCCCGGGAGAACCCACGAGACCCCCGGAAGCTGTTGGCGCAACGACCCCTGGAAAACCACCAGAAGTAGCAGCAGTAGCCGCAGCAGCAGCAGCAGCAGCAGCAGCGGCTTGGTTTTGGAACATTGCCAAGGCTTCAGGGGTTAAGAACTGTCCAAGATTTTGTGTTGCGAACGGGAAGTTTGGAGCTGTGGTAGGGAACAGAGCCCCTGTGACTGGCGTGCCCACAGCGTTTGTTGTAAGCCCCACAGGGCTGTTTGCTACAGCTGCCGTGTTTCCGGGTACGGCTGGGCTCATCATGGACGC